ATTACAGGGCTGTAATATTTAGTAATCAGTGTTTATGTTGAAATATTAATTAATCCATAGTGTAATATTAATTTATTAATCTGGAATATTTAGTAATAAATATTGTAATTATTAACCAATACTAAAATATATAAATACAGCTGTAATATTTAGTTAGAAATTTAATATTTAGCAATGAATGCTGTAAGATTAATACAGAACTTCTGTAAATACAGAAAATAAATACAGAACTTCTTATTTATCAATATTTTAATATTTAATTAGCGCTCTAAAAATGAGCAATCAATGCTGTAGTATTTAGAAATCAATATTACAATAATTAAAGTAGAGCTGTATTAATTTATTAATCTGGAACATTTAGTAATAAATATTTTATAAACTAAAATATATAAATACAGCTGTAATATTTAGCTAGAAATGTAATATTTAGTAAACAATATTGAAATATTTAATCATATTTATTAATCAATACTGCAATGTATTAAATTACAGCTGCAAATTTAGTAATCAATGCTGTAATGTTAAGTAATAAATAAAGTAATAATTGAAGAAAAGCTGTAATATTTAGCAATGAATGCTATATAATAAAAATCACATTTTTTAAAAATGTATAAATATATCCTACATAATGTCATTCGGTATAGTTGTTGGTGAATTTTGCAGTGGACTCAATGCTAATCAGTGACTGATTCGATTATTGTTTGTTTGGGATGAGGACTCACAGGTTCGTGTCGGCGCCCTGAAGATGTAGCCTTTGTTGTCCAGAGTGCGACGGTAGAAGTTTGAGTTCAGAGGTTCGGGATCCTCGTCCCATGATTCAGCAGCTCTGAAACACACACACACACACACATATGCCGATGAAGCTAATTGTAATTAAGTGTCCACTAGCCCAGTCAGAAGCTCCGTCACTCACATGTTGGGGTAAATGCGTGTAACGCCTCCATTGGTAGATGCGAACAGCGCCAGGAAGCCATACCTGCAGAGATCAGACTGATCAACATCTCAATCCACTTAATCCAGTAAATCAACAAACTCTTGATGGGCCTGATCTTACGTGTTGAGATCCTTGTTCTGCCAAACGCGTGTCGCGAGATTCCACAGGATCCCAGAATCCAAGAT